CGCTGCGCACCCCGAAAGCTGAGTAGTGAAAGGTGGTGAGATGGCTGCGGTTCACTCTGGGTCCCCAGGGTTTTGTCTGGGGGAGGGAGGGAGCCTACTTGGTGGCAAAATTACTGGACTCTTCTTCAGAGAACTTTCTCCTTACAGAAGCTTTCTAATTTTAACCAAGAATGAATTATATTTATTCATAAAGCCTGTACCTGAGGGAAGGCTCTTAAATTTGAAAATTCAAAGCACCGTCTCTTTCCGGTCTGCTTAGTATATTTGTGGAGCTGACACAAACAGTGTGTGTATGGTTTGGTTTCTTTTGCTTTATATTATGCTGTGTAGCTGCTGCTGAGCAATGATTTCATGCTTTGGTAAATAAATGGGAGAATACATTTCTGAAATGTTTCTGTTACTTAAATTTCTCAGTCCAAAGTTGCTAAACTTCCTTTTAATGCGTGAGATTAAATCACATACTGGCCTCATATTCTCAAATTAGTGTATGTCATTGCTTTGCAGCATATAGTTTTTCTTATTCGTAAGGATCAGTTCAGCTAGTCCCAATACAATTTAATTTTTGTCTTGTTCACTTTTGTAGATGGAAAACATCCAGATAGGCTAAAATGTCCACAGAGAAATAGTCCTGACAAAAATGGAGACGCATACAGTTTTCTTGTAGAGGCATATACACAGAGATAAAGATGATTCTAGATGAGCAAGAACAAGTCTTGTCCTACAATGGCGAAGTCCTTATATTTCAGCTGTCAAAAACAAAACATGTTGAAGGAGCAGCTGATAAAACAATGAACTTATGTGTCAGAAGAATGGCATTCAACAGAGACACTAAGCTGTTTGTTCAGAAGTCTTCTGGAGTATTCAGCATGTGTGCCAGTCACTTAAAAGTTGAAATAATTTGTTGTAGCTGCATAACAGATTCCAGAACAGGGATCGTTCTTCCCTGCATTTTGATGAAAGAGAAAACACGGGACAATGTTGTCAAATACCTTTTGTTGTTGCTTCACAGCTCAAATCAATTTGAGCAGTCCTTTCATTTTACATTGGATTATGAGCTGAAAGAAGACATCAGGTTGTTTACTGGCCCTTCAGTCTTGTGGAGGCACGCCAACAAGCTGTTCTACGTCTCTTCTGACACCTGCACTGTTCTAAGTGCTCCTGTTGAGCTTTCTTCTGTTGTGTGGACAGGTGAAATTGAGAATGAAGGCACCGTTGTCTTAGGGATAAGAACTGCTTGCCTATCAGAGAGTGAAGATGAGGCTGAGTTTTCCACTTCAGACAGAGCCATCTGGGGTACTGAGTTCTTTGGATACGCAATTGGAGCACAAAAAATGCTAACTGGCACATGCTTTATGCCTCATGCTTACAGCAGAGTGGTAACTTCTGTCTGTGTCTGCAAGAATGAGATATTGAAGAAACAGCTCCGAATATCCCTTGTCGCCATAACCCATAAGAATCAGCTTATTTGGTTCCAAGATGGTCTCCCTAAAGGTGTTTGTGAGCTTCCTTATGAGAAACCATGTTCAGTAAAAACAGCTTTAACCAGCAGTAATGATTTGCTGTTTATTGTGTCTTTTGCTTCTGGAAATATCTGTGTTATACAGAGCAGAGAGAGCTTACAGGTATTTGTGGCTTTAAAACAGCTCCCTTTTACGGCTGCATCTTTTTGTATATATTGTCTTATTGTAAATTTCTGCAGCTGAAAAGCTACATGTTTAAGTTCTAGAGATTTTTTTGTTATTGTTTCTTCTTTTAAAATAATCTGTCTGAAGTATGAGATTGTTTTGATTTTATTTCTTGCTTATATATCGGAAAATATTATAAACCTCAGATTCTATTATTTAATAATACATTTTATGAATCAGAGCCAAAGCTGCTGTTGCTAATTGAAAATTTCCATAGTATGTGAACTATGAAGTTGTAAGATGGTTATGAGAGTGCCTACATAATTTGTGTTAAAGTGAAAGTAAACTTATATCGTTGTAAAACATACATTTCTCATCAGAATTTAAAAGCCTTTTGAGTCTCACTCCCCAGTAACAAAAAGTATTGGTGCATGAAAATGACAAGAAGAGGCCTTGCTTTCATAAAGTCAGGAGAGCCAAAGTTGACTGCTAGGGTTTTGTAATCCTCTGCCAATAAAAATTACATAACTCAGAAAATAAAAGTTTGTCTTACTTACTTATCAGCATTATTGTACAAATTTGTCATTACCTGTCAAACAAATTTGCAAGTATGCAATGAAACAAAGATTTTTCTCAATGTCTTAGGTATGATGTCTTTAATTGATCTGCAAATATCAGTGGCTCTAAATAAATGTTACAGTGTTCAGCTGTTCAGCTGTTTGAGTACACTGAGAAGTTGTCATCTCTGCAAACTTGATTCTGGAAAGTGGTCTTTAAAGAGAAATGGCTATTTTCCCCCACAGTTAGATAGGCTCTAAATGATGGTGTAAGAACTTGAAACTTCTTTAAATACTATATTCTGCACACCTGAATAGGTTGCCTTTTTATAAAAAGCAAGCTTCACCAAAACAAAATCTCAAATACAAGATTTATTAAAATATATGTATTTTAAAACTTCTTCTACTGTAGGTGGCTTCCAAATGGCAGAAAGTGATGTCTGTTCTGGTGGATGATTTTATTGGCTCTGGAAGTGAGCAACTGTTACTGCTTTTTAAGGATGACTCCAATACAGACGTGTTAAGTACATTCACAATAACAGATCTTGGAGAGGTCAATTACACAGTAAGTTCAGCTGCCTTTTCTCAGCTTCTCAGTCTGTGCTTACTAAATTAAGAAAACCTCAACAAACCATTAAAGTATTGTCACAAAGTGAAATTGGATGTATGCTGTGAAATGCCCTGAAGTTTGAATACAATATTTTCTGCTGTAATCATAAGATGTGTTATCTGAAGAGATTATTTTACTTCCTTGATAGCCATCAATATTCTTTTAGGAAATTAAACATGTGGTTGAAAATGCATCACATGTAGCAGTCTTGCTACAGTGCTGCCTTTTGGCTAAGAATTCTTAATTAAGGCCGTAGTGCTTGTTGATTATCTTCTCATAATTGTGTCTTTCTATTACGTACTATCAAACTCTAATTGGTTTTGTAAGATAAGATTTTTCTTTTAATATGCATGCTCTGATTGTGTTGTTTTTCTGTATTTTCCCCCAGATTTTTATAATGATGTGCAATAGCCTGTACATTGTTTTCAGCTTTTTAAGTAATTCAGGGTTTTGTTTTGGTTTTTTTTAGAGTGGTATTAATTGTAAACCTGAATCTCCTGCTGCAGAAGGAGTGCAAGAGAATGGTTTGCTCACTGTCCGAGCCCTTGAAACAAGATTACAGGTTTGTACTCAATAGTTCTGACTCCATATTTTCTGCAAATTACTTCTCTGTATTTTTACATTATCTGAAGGGTGAGGTTAATGATACTGCTTAGTTTGTGAAATTCCAAAGGTTATTTAGGTTGGAGTTTGACATTTATCATCAAAATTCAGGTCTCCTAGAAATTTGCAATCAAATCATCTTTTGACAATCCCTATGGAGTCTTGTGTATAGCCTTCAGCCTATGGATTTCTGAATTATGTTTCCCTCTGGCTTTTTTTGTCTACTTTTTCTATTTTACCTTTGATTTTAATTACCCAGTGATTTTTAGCTTTATCAATCATGAATCTTCCTTTCCATTTTCTTTCCTTTGTAAAAGTGCCACAGTTCTTGGCTCAGTACCTTTAGCTCTGTATGTACTACTATTAATTTATTTATTTATGAATACTGGAACTTTAATTGCAATGTGTCAAAGCACTTGACTGTTTTACTTACTATGAAGCCTCTGCCTTAATTTGCTTTGCTTTTGACAGTGATTCGTCTGTTCTGCTCTTCATGCTGGATTTACTCACAGCTCTATTCTGTTTGGCTCTGGAGTGCCTTGTTTTTATGTTGATATTTATTTTCTATTTTAAGATGATCTAGTTTTATTTTCTTAGTTTCGCAGTGATTGTGACTTCTGCTGATGCTTGTTGTGCAGAAAAGATGTGCATGTCCCTTGTTCCAGAGAGAAAGTTGATGGGGCTCAGTCATGGGTTTGCCGTGTGGTGAATTTCAGATCTCTTCTGTTTTTTTATGAGGAAAAGGGGCTTGCAAAAGTCAGATTGGTCAGGAAGCGTACATCAGTGA